TAATGGTTAGAGAGTCGTGTTTGTTCACTATCACTGCTGTGTGTGTGCGCACTTGGATGGGTTAAATGCAGAGCACAAATTCCAAGTATGGGATGCCACATCTCACGTCCTTTCCTTTCCTAAATTGTAGCAACGTCCGTTACCTTTTGGACGTGGCTGATGTTTATAACAGTAATCTTGGGGGGTAGACTCGTTTAAAATAATGTAATCATCTGGTTTTAGCCAGGTTTCTGTAAAACAGAGCATATCTAGGTTATAATTAGTGATCATATCATTTACAAAAAGTGCTTTCGTAGAAAGGGACCTGCTATTCAATAAGCCAAGCTTTATAATTAGTTTCTCAGAATTATATACAATTTTTATTTGTTGAACATCAATTAAATTGTTCATCTTTAATGGTTTAGACATTTTTTGTATTTTCTAGTTCGGGGAACAGACACAGTCTCTACTGTATAGTATGATAGCTAGGTGAAATAGTCTCTATGTGCTGAGAATTAACTGTGAGACTTCTGTGACTTGAGGCGGCTAGCAGACTCTAAGACTATGTGCCATATGTGCAGTCGTGGCCTAATGGTTAGAGAGTCGGACTTGTAATCTGAAGGTTGCGGGGTTTGAGTCTTAGGTTCGGCAGGGATTGTCGTGGGGGGAGTGAATGTACAGCACTCTCTTCCACCTTCAATACCATGACTGAGGTGAGACCCTTGAGCAAGGCACTGATGCCCCAACTGCTCACCGGGTACTGCAGCACTGGCTGCCCACTGCTCCGGGTGTGTGTTCACAGCTATGTGTGTGCACTTGGTTGGGTTAAATGCAGAGCACAGATTCTGAGTATGGGTCACCATACTTGGCCACATGTCACTTCACTTTCACTTTATTTCTAGAGAGAAGAGCGGCATCACCCCTGAAGGGATGAAGACCATCTTTTTTCAACAGGTCAGGTCTTCCCCAAAAACTCGTCCAATTGTCTATGAAACCTGTTATTCTGCGGGCACCACTTAGACATCCAGCCATTGAGTGACAACAGTCTGCTATGTATCTCGTCACCACGGTAAGCAGGGAGGGAACCAGAGCATATTACAGTGTCTGACATCATACCTGCAAGTTCACACACCTCTTTAATATTATTTTTAGTGATCTCCGACTGGCGAAGTCGAACATCATTAGTGCCGACATGAATAACAATCTTAGTGAATTTACATTTAGCATTAGCCAGCACTTTTAAATTTGCCAAGATGTCAGGTGCTCTGGTTCCCGGTAAATACTATATATACATACAAACATATATATATAAACTGTATGTGAACAAATTAAAACTACTCTTTTCAGTTTTTTACATTTTTTATTCGATTTTAATTCTGCTTCAAATTCCAATTTGGCATACAGTTTTGTTTGATAACTCAGGAAGTGAATTGCAATACATTCATTTATTTCTGAATGGCACACAGCCCTGAAGGACACAAGACTAGTTTTCTTGTAAAACTGCTTGTCGTGTTTATAGCCTGGAGTTCTGCAGTGTTACAAGGAAAGGAATGAGAGTGTATTGAGAGTGTAGTCTTAAAGTTTAAAGATTTGGAAATAGTTCAGTTATATAAGGAGAAAATCTCATCAGGACAATAATTTTAATCTGCAGAGACAATTATAAGTCATTTAGGTTGATTTCTTTGAAATGTGTAAATAACCCTGCCAAAAAAAAAATTCATAATATAGGAAACTGGAAACGTTGAAGCCACTCAGAAGAACAGTTTAAGTTGCATACAAGAATGAAAAGTTGAGATTTATGATATTAGAGCCTACTGTATATAGTATGAGAATCCTCAGGTCTGAGAAAAGTTACATAATGAGGTTGCACATAAAGGGCAACATCATTATGTAAAGATCTTCACTCTACAGGTCACTGCTGTATGCTATACACTACACTATATCTACAGGCCATGAGTCTGCATCATAATGATGCCAAATTCTCCTCATGTAATCTGAGAATATGAGACAGTGTTGAAAAACATAACAGAGGTTTTTTTTTTTCCTTGGGTCTAGTACATACTAACATAATGGCATGATCTAGTTGACTTTGTGCTGTTGGAATGTGTCCTTTAAAGCATTTCCTTCACTTTATTGCCTATTGCTTTTAAAATATAACCTATTTCTTATCAGTCAAGCTATCTGAGTTAATGTGTGAGTGTTTATGTAATAGGAAACAAACCCCATTAAGCATTCGTTACCTTCTGATGTAGCCACAGAAGTCTCACCTTGGAACTTACTGGAAGGAAAAGACTATTGTTTCGGATTGCTATACAACAGTATATTACAGTATTTAAGAATGTTTTGTGGTATTTTTAGGGTGTCAATAGGATACAAATTATTTAATTTTTAAATCATTAAAGCAAAAAATCCCATTGATTTTGAAATGAGAACTGATGTGTTAGATAAGCTATTATCTAACATTAAATGAATAATAAAAGCAGAAAGTTTTTATTTAATTATTGAGAAATAAGATTTTGTTAATAATTACAAACCAACGTTTGGTGCCAAAGCTAGACCGAGGAGGTCTGTAATACATGAAGAAAGCTGTAAGCAGTCCATTCATCTCAGTGGCAGTTTCTCTGTGTAAGATGTGTGTTATGTACAATGTATGTGATCTTGCCCTCAGTTCTGGACACACTTGCTTATGAGCCATGCCACCTAAGGCATATAGGTGAGTATGACTAATCAATGAACAGGAAATTATGTCATAGCGATTCTGACTGGCTAATGGTACCATGAGAATCCAAAGTCCCAAGCCTTTTAACTGCAACTGTCATGAGTAATGCCATCAAAGGCTGCAGACAAAAAATATATATTATTTTGTCAGAATACACTTTCAGTGAATTATTTTAAATGGCACTGGTGAAAATCATCCACAGAAGGTGTAGTTATAGCTTTGGCCTTCACCAGTAGGGGCTAAAAGGGGCGCTCGAGTCCGCCTGTGTTTATTTTTGTAAAATCATCCACACAAGCAAAGTTGGTTGATAACATAACTGCAATAAAGTAATAGCCTAGTTAAAAATACGTGTTTACATAGGATATATAATGTATTTTATATTATTTAGGCACTTATAGGCTTGGCAGAATTTTCTCATGTTCTCAATTCAGCATGCCATGGGAAAGTCTAATTTACCATTTTATTATCAATATTGTTTATTTCTAACTCCAACAGTTCATCAGGCTCTTAATGATTTAATCTATGCCATCTCTTGGATTATCTGAGTGCCAGGCTTTTTCATCACTGTTTTACACATGGCTCTAGATTCTGACTTGTACTTGCTCTTATTAAAAAGTGTACCATTGTTCTTAATCTTAACTGTAGGATGTAGGCCAGGCCAATAATGACTTTTTTTTTATTAATCTGTAGCATTTGTTATGAAAAACAACAGCCTGCACATTTAGAAACAATAGCTACAACATGCCACAGTTGTAATATAAATCTATTGGAAAAATCTATTCACAGATTATCTGTTTTAAATTCAGATTAGGCTACCTATTATACATTTTACAACAAGTTAGACAAAATTTTACCACAATAAATAAGCCTACAATAAAACGTGATCAATTGTAGGCGGTCATGAGTAGCTTAAAAAGACTTTAATATATGTTAGTGCTGGTGCAAGATTATGTTTTCTCTTTTAATCAGTCTTTTTGTTTATTTGCCTTTTTAAGATAATATTCAACTTTCTCTATAATTAATTAATAGCCTTGGTCCTTGGTTTCCATTAACCATGGTATAAATATTGGTAAAAATGTGGTTGCAGTTGCATACCACAGTAATAATACAGTATCATAAAAAAAAAAACATTATAACAGGTAACATTACCATGACATTATAACAGGTAATATTGGTGGAACATATAGGTTTTGAGTTTAGACTTAAATTCGTGGAGTGTGGTTATAGTCCGGAGAGCCAGGGACAATGTGTTCCAAAGTTTGGGAGCCATAGCAGAGAAAGATCTACCTCCCATAGATATAGGCGAAATCTCAGAACACAAAGAAGTTCCACTCCAGATGATCCAAGTGGACGAGAGGGAATATATGGAGAAAGCAGGTCAGAGAGATAGGTAGGTGCAAGACCATGGAGTGACTTAAAGGTAAGCAGAACAATTTTATAAATGATACGAGAGGACACAGGTAGCCAGTGGAGGTTGAATAGAATAGGAGTGATATGTGCAGACAATGTGATTAAAGCATTTACTAGTAATTCAGCATCTTTCGGACTGATGAAGGAATGGAGTTTGGCAATACGGCGAAGTTGAAAAACATGCAACTTTGGAGAGCTTACTAATATATAAGCTAATATATAATATATATGGAGTGATTAATTTAATAATAATTGTATATAATAATAGTATTTTTTTTTATTAATGCTTATTGCTAGAATCTAGTGAATTCACACAAATCAAGGTTTTGAACTTTAACCAGACATGTCCCAAATTGTGTTAAGGTTCAAATAAAAGTTTAGTTTTACCTCCTGAGAATAATTTCCCCAATGTTAAGGCCTTTCTTTCAGTGAAGGAACAGAAACGTAGCCTTTTTAGACATTTTTAACTTTCAAACTTACTTATTTGTAAAAATGTGTCAAAGCTGTGTGTAGCGTGAAACTCTGAAAATCTTTACTTTCTTAGGCTACATTTGTATTTAGCACATGCTTTAATTTTGTCATTGTCAAGGACAAAAGTATTCACAAAAACAGATCTCACAAATGTTCACATTAAGGTAGATATTGAACGTATTGGTCAGAGTTTCCATTACTCTCTAGGTTTATCTAGCATCCAATTATAAAAAGCCTAATGTGTGACGTACTTCAGGTGGTTTACGCCCTAAAGGGTTAATGACGTCAGTTTGCGATTAATATTTATTTTTAAGCCACGCCCACCCGGCGTTGCTCATTGGCTCATTGGCGTTGAGTTCGTGTGGAAGGCGGGGCCTTTCCTATAATCTAGGAGTGGGCGTAGTTTTGTCATTCGACGGTTTTGAGGACAAGAGAAGCCGGAGACACAGCATACATCGCCGGCCTGCCATGACGCAAAACTCCGCTAGTAAGCTTCTAAACGGGGATGCCTTACACCGGACGAAACAAGACAAGAAAGCGGGCGGGAATGGGTTCGTGAAGAACCGCTGCTTGTTCCAGCAGAAGCGCTGCCGCCGCCCGGCGGAGAAGGTGAGGCCGCCTCCTGCGCTACACACAACACCAGAAGCACGCTCAGTGTACACACCGGAGCCGCTTATGCGGTTACTTTGAGTTCAATTAGAATAGAAATATTTCTGTTTCATTCTGGGTTTATATGCCGTTTCCGAGTTTAGTATTTAGGAAAGGAGCGTTTATCTGGTTTGTTTTCATGTGTTCAAACCGTTCAAACATGTAACCGTTATATATAGCATCTTCCACGTATATTTTAAATGTACGAAATTCTATTTGATGTCATTCAGTTACTTTTAAAAGTTGATTTAAATAATTACATTATTTATTAAAAATGCCCCTTGACTTCTTTTTTTTTTTTTTTTTTTTATACAGTTAAACCTCTGTTTACGTCTTTATTTATCTCCGCAGCAATCAAATTATGGTAAAAATAAGAATGATATGATGATATTGCAATTTTAGTTAATCAGATTATGATTCACAGAATGATGCTAATTGAAGATGCAACATTTAACACCACTGCTGGAGAAAACGTTTGTCTAATTGAACTTTTGACTCAACCCTTATAGTTATTAAATGAAATATAGCCCTTGTGGCAACAAGCCCATGGCCTCCTCATTAAAGTGTCTGATATTCATTCAAAAATTAAGAACAGAATATTGTTCATTTTTAAGCAAATTGGTTAAGTGTCATCCTTCTGCTAGAAGAAACCGTCCCAGACCTGCAAACTGAAGTTAGTGTTTGTTCTCTATGGGTGTTGTGCACATATGGTGAACTGCTGTTTCATGTCCTAGCTGCTACTGTATTGTGAATTTTACTACAGCTGGAGCTCTATGTTGGCCAGTCAGAATCCAGAACTATAAAACAAGTAATTAGTTAATGTGCATTCAAGTAGTTGGACGTGTACTGAAACTTCAGATCTTCCATTATTTTCACATTCAAATGTAAATAACTGCTGATCTGTTAAACATTATTTCATATTTGTTCAAGACTTAATGAAAGTTGAGGTTATTATATAATGCCCACTTTCAATGCTCAACAATGAAAAGCATCAGCAGCCCATTGCATTGAGATGAATGGTTATGGGATCAGATGAATTGTTTGGGGTTAGTGTTTGGTTGTCTCCGTTTGTATTGACACAAGCATGTAAAATAACAGTGTAGTGTTCTGTCATGTAACTGGAGAGCAACGCTTTGTTCTTTGCAACCTGAGGATGTTTGTCCAGTGCACTTCTGCGCTCCGAGGGAGAAACAGCTTTTCCAAGAATATGAGTGTGTTGTCAAGCTAGTTTTTCTTGTACTAGGTCCTTATCATCAAAATGGACCTATGGGTCAGGTGTGCAGTATTGTTTTTTTTTTAAGCTTACAGTAAACATAACAGGCGAGGCATGCAAAGTAGGTCTTGCCAGTATGTTGATTATTGATATAATTTATGTTAAAAGTTAATAAGATTCTTTTCCGTGAATCGGGTCAAATGATCGGTGATCAGTGAATTGATTCAAAACTGATTTTGAGTGACTTGCGTCTAATAATAGCTCAAAAATTGGATTTTTCATTTATTCAAATGTTTTAGTGTATATGTAAATATAATTACCATATAATTACCATATTTATTTATTTAGGCTGTACGCAATTTTTTTTTAATGTGGCCAATGTAGTGGCCCAAATCAGAATTGAAATGATCAGATTCCTTGTAGTTTGTAATGTTAAGAAGAAAATGACTCATTTCTCAAGCCATTTCAGGAAAAAGTATATAAATATAGGGATGTATAATTAATATCATGAAAATATCTCATCCAGCCCTACTGTAAGTAGTTTCAGTTAACATTTCCAAACCTTATTAAAAGAAGATTTGTCTGCCTTGTGCAACTTTTACTGACTGACTTTAGAAACTGAACAAATACAAGACTTTCCTGTATTTAGCAATGCAAGTTTTCCCGCAAAGGCTTTAACACAAACTGTTAACCCTGACTTAACTTGAGCTTTACATAAGAAGGGTGATTCAGGGATCTGGAACAGTGGGATCAGGCCATTCCTTACAGGAAGGGCAGCTTTTAGAGTGGATGCAGTTAAGAGAAACACAAGTTTGATCACGTGCTGCAGTGTGAGTGTAAGGACAAACTCTGGTTCATTTTCTTGGCCGGAGTGATAAATGGAGTTTTGCTCTTCTGATCATCTCTGGTATCTGTAACCTCATGTTTGAAGCTGTTAGCAGTTTCAGTCCCAACTATAGTTGTACAGTTTCCATAGAGAATGTGAGTATGGGTACCAGTGTAATTGTTATGAAATGAATAAAATGTTCAGGGTGTTGTTAGATAGTTGCTTTCTAGCCCAACTTAAAAGAGCCCATCCCTAAATTTCAGCATTATTCTGGTATCTATGTGTATTCTTTCTGTGCTCCGTCATGAAATGATTTGTCTTTAATCTAGTGTGGACAAACTAAATCTACTATAATCTGGTTTTTATCAGACTAGCTGTACATTAATGTTGTTTTATGCTTTTGCTGTTTACTTTGGTGCATTTTGTAGTGTTTCGATATTCGTTTTTCAATGTAGATTCACTTCATATTCATCTTTTCCCCCACAGAACCATCATGCTTCATGCACTTTGCTTTATAAAAAGCCATTTGTGGAGTCGTTTGAGGAGACGCCGCTGCTGGTTGCCGTACTCACCTACATCGGCTATGGCATCCTTACCATTTTTGGCTATCTGCGAGATTTCCTGAGGGACTGGAAGTTTGAGAAGTGTCATCTGGCCAGAGAGAGAGAAGAACAGAAGGTACGGTATATAATATATTTGTGGTGCTTGCCTGGCTTTTTTTTATTTCATGCTTTCTAGTAATGTTTCACATAACCGATGTTTACATGTAATCGTCAAGACAAAATAATAACTGAATTTACACTAAAGACCTTGTTTAAATACAATTTTTTAAAACTTTGCATTGTCACCTGAATGGTCAAAGCCTATTTAGTGCTGTTTTGTAATACTTGTGCATACGTCTCTTATTTGTCCTGAGCTGTTAAACTGACTGCTGATCTTCAGTTTTAAAGCATCTTTACAGTAATAAACAGGAAAATAACAGAATTAATGATGCAAACTTAATCAGATATGAGACAAATTCAAATTCTGCTGCAAACCATCTCTAAAAAGACAAATGTTATTATTCAGTTCCGGTCATGTTGCGAAATTCATCAATTATGAGTCAAAAGTCACAAAATTCAAAGTCAATTTAAGCCAAGTTAAAGCAGTTCTACAGAAGATGATTGCACTATCTATCATCCAGCTTAAAGGGCTCATATGATGTTGCTAAAAATAACAATGAGACAAAAACATTAAAACTCATTATAAACGAGGCATCTGTTGCAACCAGTGGGGACATAATTACGGATTATAGTGACTTATACTGTCTTTTTACGCATTGCATCGCATCGCGCTGCGTAAACATAAAACCATGCCTGCATTTGTGATCGGAGAAATGACAAAACTACAAACGCTACTCTACACTGCTCAAAACTCGCGTTTGAATCATCAGTGGCAAATTCTTTAAATATAAAAAAACTTACTTCGTCTGTGAGTCAGAACAGCCGGCATTGTAGTCTACTCTACCAGGTGTTTCTACCAAAGTAGTTTCGCTTTCACAACGAAACACACAGTGCCTTCACGACATGGCAGCGGCGGCAACAATACTACAGCGAGAATAAAAGTTACGCCGCCTTTCTTTGAGAACATTTGGGCGGCGTTATGCAAATCTTCCCACATCGTGATGTAGACATGTACAACGTAGTGTTATGTTTTCGCTTTCGATGCTCTGTTCCCAGGATTTTGTTCCACTGTACCAGGACTTTGAAAACTTCTACACCAGGAATCTGTACATGAGGATCAGAGACAACTGGAACAGGCCCATATGCAGCATCCCTGGAGCCAAGATGGACCTCGTGGAGCGGGTCACACCTGACTACAACTGGACCTTTGAGTGAGCGTCACATTGTGCCGACACACCAGGATGTTGGATCCAGCCAACCAGATCCCACCAGAAGATGTCTGTTTTGACTGAAGTTGCATCTTTCTTAGTGCTCAGAACAGCACAAATTAAAAAGTGTTATCATACCAAAGCATAAGCAATGGAAAATTGCTGCCTCACAACAACAACAAAAAAACCTTAAGATGGAGACATTTGCTTATTACTTAGGCAACACAGCAACCAACATAAGATTAAACAGTTTTTTTAATTATAAAGATAATATAGCTGCTTAAAACAGAAACAGAAAGTGATTTTAGATTGTAAAATCTCGCAATTTTTTTAGTTTTTACTATATTTGATTAAATAAATGCAGCCTTTGTGCAAATAAGAGACTTCTTACAAAAACCTTTAAGAAAAATTAGTACTTTTGACCAGTAGTGTATATGTGGAAAGTAATATGACAGAGATAACGACAAAAAGGCAGGAATCAAGTACTGCACAGATATGTTACCACACACACACATTTCTGTTAAGAATCTTTAGATCCTTCATAAGTCTAAAGGCTTTACAGAAATTAATATGGTGTGAGTTTTAGTATATATATTTAGTGTATATTTCCTTTTAAAAGTAGTGTGTGTCATTTGTATTAGTATTATTATTTTATATACATTTAATTTATTCCATGTTTTTTCTTTGTTTTCCTGCAGACACACAGGGAATGTTCTGAAAGATGTTATTAATATGGGCTCATATAACTACCTTGGCTTTGCTGAGAATACCGGCACATGCGCTGATGCTGCCTCTGAGTGCACTGTGAAATACGGCGTGGGGGTGAGCAGCACCAGGCAAGAGATAGGTAATAAACACTCGCTCTCTCAGGCTTTAAAGCCACGTCTCTGGGATAAAAGGGGCAAAATAATGATATGACCCTTTTTGGGTAGGTTTTAGTAGATTTTTAAGGGGTCATATACTTGGTCCTCTTATAATATTAATCAATTTTGACTTTGTCATTATGATTTTCCACCCTCTCATTGACATTTAGAATACTTATTCATATATTCAGTTCTTGGTGAGTCATTCATCCCACTGGGTGAGGATTCGCTTTTATGGTGGAAAAATGTGCGGCACTATGAAACACTTAGTTCTTATCTAACCTTTATCATTGTGTCCCTGGAGTCTGATGTTTACACAAAAAGAAGGAAACAGTTCTATTATTATACAAATCTATTGTTGCATCATTAAGATATTTGTTCTCTCTTGCAGGAAATCTTGACAAGCATGAGGAGCTAGAGAAGCTGGTGGCCAGGTTTTTAGGGGTTGAGTCATCCATGGCCTTTGGAATGGGCTTTGCTACAAATTCCATGAATATTCCTGCGCTCACAGGAAAAGTAAGGGTTTTACTATAAACACAAACATCAAGTCAAATGGAATGCTAAGAATTTTTACGTCAAAGCCAGGTAGGGTGGGGAAGAACATTGGGGATTGGGAGTTATGTTTTTTTTTTATTTATTTTTTTTTATTGAAATACTCCCAGTGATCATATCTGTTCCCTCACAGATTTCTTTGGCTCACACAGGAAATTGATCATAACTGAGTCATGTAACATGTTATTGGAAGCCTTTATGCTTTGTTCACACCGGGACGAATATCGCGCGCGATTATCGCCAACGTTTAACGCCTCGTGACTAAACAAAGGGCGCCAGTGTGAGTGTGCAAAACGCGAGGCGTAAAAGCGTCATTTTTTTTTTTAAACCGCCTGGGGCTCGTTTTTTTGGTTTGACGCGCCGCGTTAAAAACTGGCCGACCAATGAGATTGGCGCTTTTGTTCACGTGCCTGGAGCTGCTGAAGTTACAGTAAAACACGACTTGGTGACACTCAAGCACAAAACGGTCTTGCCGAGCACACATTGATACCTAACGACAAAGAGGGAAGTAAATAGACCAAGAAGATGCATCGAGGCAAGATGAATGTAGAGCTGCTGGTCTCATTGGTGTCTGAACACAAAGGGCTTCATGACAAACGTGACAGCGACTACAAAGATCTCGATAAGAGGGAGTTGTTATGGAGAGGAATTGCAGATCAAATAGGATTCGATGTGTACACGCATTCCTGCTTTCATTCACAACATGTTTGATTACTTTTGGGGAATTCCAATTAGCCCCTAAAATTAAATATCGTTTTCCTACCTGCAAATACTGGTTAAATCAGGGCAAGAGATGCTTTAATGGTCTTCAAAGGTCCACACTGATATTGAATCTGTGATAGAAATAAAGTAGGATTTTGAAAAATGTAAAGCATAGAAACTTTATGTATGTAAAATTAAAAAAAAAAAAAGAATATTCTGCTTTGTACCTGGATTAGTCAAATAAGCGGTTTCTAAATATAAATGTAAGGGAATATAAATAAAAATTTGAAAGGGCTTCCTTTGAAAACATAGTTTAAAATTCCTTTTTAAATTCCTTGTTAGAAACCCTTTTTCCTTTGAAATTCCTTGTTAGAAACCCAAATACATTAACGCATGGTCATGAGAAAGTACAAATACCATTAGTCCTAAACGCCATAAGAAGTAATGATGATTAAATATGTAACACCTTGTTCTGTTATTGATTGTGTCCTACAACTCCCCTTACGTTTGAAATGTTGCTTTGTATCTTATCAACTCTTTAGCCAACAGGGTTAGTATTATTTAATATGCTTTTTTTGCTTTTCATTAAATTAAGGTATGCGTGTATTTCTCTTAGGGCTGTCTGATCTTAAGTGATGAGCTCAATCATGCATCTCTGGTTCTGGGTGCCCGTCTCTCTGGCTCTACCATCCGTGTATTCAAACACAACAGTAAGTTCATGTTATTTTTAGCCCACACTGAAAATAAAAATGCTGTGCAAAACAATCACAACCAGTTAATATTTAATGTTTAATATATAGGATTAAGGACCCAAATGAGTTCACAATGGGTGGCTCAGACATAGAAACATTACAAACAAATCATTACTGAATGCATTTGTTTGCAGAATAAATTAATATTGTGTGATTAATGTACCTGAATAGGCATTTGGCCGCAAAAAAAAATCTAATATAAGTGAACCTCAGACAAAAACATGCAATAAGTAAATCTTATGCCATACTTTTTATAACCTTCTCGCTAAGAACAGCACCCGTACTAATATATGAAGGGTTCATTTGCAAAAACCGATAAGTCCATTTTTATTTTCAGAAATCAAGTTTTTTTTATTGCGCATTCCAAGTAATATCAATCAACCTGCAGTTGGGTTGTTTTGATTAAGTAATAATAACCTAAACAAATACAGGTAATTTACAAAATTAAAGTTCATTGAAAGTAGGGGTGCTCCGACTGATCGGCTATCGATCACTATCGGCCGATAATCACGTTGGGATGATTGATCGGCGGTCTCTAAAAAAACCGATCTCAAGCTGATGACGCTGCCGTGAGAGGTTTGGCACGACATGCAGTGGCACCGTCTCAGTCTCTGTCTGGCGCGGGTGAAATAACTATAATGCTGAAGGTGAGGTACAATTCATATTTCTTCATTAAATAACTTATAAAGTAAATTAAAAACCTTGTGTGAGACGTAATTTCACAAACAGCGTGAGTGAATCACTGCGCGCGCTCTCGCTTTCTCTCTCAAAATACGCAAATTGCTTCAAATCACTACATCACGTTTGTCTATAAGCGAGCTGCACAGTTGACACAGGAATTGTCACTTGCACAATCGAGGCAGTGTCACATCGTCACTAAAGTATATAAATTGCATTACTTTTTAATTCTTGCCAGTGTTTAACCATTCAGCGCTCGCACGCTCTTCTGGAGACTGTGCTTATGCACACTCGCAGCGCACACACATAATGCCAGGTTCACATTACTCCATTTACAGTATGTATGTGGTGTGTATTTTTTCCGTGCTCATGTTAACGGATTAATAGTGTTCACTGCACACGGTTGCTGTCCAGCAGTGTGTTCCAGGAGCGGTGCGTCTGCTGCAGTGCAGAGATCGTTTCCGCACCGAGTCTATTGCTGCGCTGCAAGCACTGAATTAAAGTAACAGTGCATTGTTTGCAGTAAATATGAACATGGATTGACATGAAAATGTAGTAATTACACCATAAATGCATATTATTAAAGTCTACTGTGTTTCACGGTCAACACATATGGCTTTTTGGCTAGGCTTAAAGGGAAAGAGCACTTTTAGATAAACAAGGCAATAATAGATGGCACTTGTGGAGGTAGGAAAACAAAGTTCTATATGAACCGCAGGATTGCTTGTAATAAAGATTTAAATGCGAAAGGAAAGGCAGTAGAGCTGACTATTTCTGTCAATGGTAAGTTTGTGATAACGTAAGAAAAGTAGTTAAAAAGTAGGTAATTGTTTAAACTTAATATAGAAATCTAGAATTAAATGCAAAAGTAAAAAGCATTGTATAATATGTTGCTTATACTTATTGTTTAAACATGTCTGTGTTTGTATTACTGTACTGTGTAAAAAAAGAATTGCAATGCTGAAAAAGCATTTTCAGTGCCAATGTTTGGATTTGAAATCAAAATAATGGATAAATGTTGGCCTTAAAAATCCTGATCGGAGCACCCCTAATTTTTAGACCGTTATTCATGGCCTGAATGTCATTTTTGAAAATGGGGGGAATTCCCCTCTTAGTTGACTCTTGTGAGAGAGGAAGCAGCACGGACTGTGCTTTCACCCAAGATCTACTGATCCGTGGCTGTTTACCACAAACACATTTATCCATTATTTTGATTTCAAATCCAAACATTGGCACTGAAAATGCTTTTTCAGCATTGCAATTCTTTTTTTACACAGTACAGTAATACAATCTTTCACAGACATGTTTAAACATAATAAATATAAGCAACACATTATTCAATGCTTTTTACTTTTGCAGTTACTTCTAGATTTATATATTAAGTTGCTCAAGCAAGTGGCAAAACATTTAAACTACTTTTGTTACGTTATCACAAACTTACCATTGACAGAAATAGTCAGCTCTACTGCCTTTCCTTTTGCATTGAAATCTTTATTAGATATCACAGATTCATCAAGTTCGTCAAAATTATCCATCCTCGATCACTTTTAGAAGTCTTTAGCCTTGTCACCTGATCTGAATACAGTGCGCTGATTCCCTAAAATTGGCTTATCGGCTTCTGTTCAAAAACAACAAGGGCGCTTGTCTGCTTCTGCAGTAAAATGTGAACTTGCGACGCCTTGAAAGTGGACAACTTTTTTGACAAAACATGTTTAGGGTTCAGATCGCGCTATTTGTGGAGAATAATGCACGGCAATCAGCTCTTTTTTCTTTTTTTTTGAAGTGGCGTTTATCGGTTTTTGCAAATGAACTCTTCATATTAAGATGCCTATTCATAAATTCTAATTTCCAACCATTACTCTCAGATATGCAAAGTCTGGAGAAGTTGCTCAGGGATGCTATCGTGCACGGCCAACCTAGAACCCACCGGCCCTGGAAGAAGATCCTCGTCCTCGTTGAAGGAATTTACAGGTATAGCAGAAATCTTTTTCTAGCTTTTTCATTATGTATACAACATGTTTTTTCTCATTTGAGCAGAAACCAGATTTTTTTGTGCAAAGCATATGCAAAGGGAGGCTGATTTGCATACCTTTTTCTGGTTTGGAGGCCATTTCATTCTTTATTTCAAGGCATAAAGAGGCGAGAGCAATAATAATGATATCATATATATTTACCACATGTAAATTTATTGTAATGCAGAGGAGGATAGGAAATGACAGTAGAAATATAGGCCTATATTAGGGCTGGACGATATGGCCAAAATTTATATCATGATATATTTCTTAATTTCGGTCGATACGATATAATTCCGATATCGATACGAACACTATTAAAAAAGCCTCATAAGAACGGCCACAACAGATGTCTGTACCTACAAACTTATGAAAGATTAATTTGCCAACTCTGAAACCTACTCCTATAAAACTATATAATATTTTAGGAAAAAAATGGCGCAAATAAATAAATGTTCACCTTTTATTGGCATTTAGCCTTCATACAAACAAGAAATGTGAAATCACTGTCAAATAAATCTCAGACTCTCCTTATTAATATTAAAAATATCGGAAATGTGTTTTAAAATCATATCATCGTTATTGAGAAAAATTATATTGCGATACATATTAATACTGAATTATTGTCCAGCCCTAGCCTATATATATATTAGTGCTGTCAAACGATTAATAGCAATTAATCGCATCCAAAATAAAAAATTTTGTTCGTATAATATATGTGTGTACAGTGTATATTTATTATCTATACAGTGGGGCAAAAAAGTATTTAGTCAGCCACCAATTGTGCAAGTTCTCCCACTTAAAAAGATGAGAGAGGCCTGTAATTTTCATCATAGGTATAAACGTTTTTCTGCAAAGGGACCAAGACGACTGATCCGTGTAAACGAAAGAATGAATGGGGCCATGTATCGTGAGATTTTGAGTGAAAACCTCCTTCCATCAGCAAGGGCATTGAAGATGAAACGTGGCTGGGTCTTTCAGCATGACAATGATCCCAAACACACCGCCCGGGCAACGAAGGAGTGGCTTCGTAAGAAGCATTTCAAGGTCCTGGAGTGGCCTAGCCAGTCTCCAGATCTCAACCCCATAGAAAATCTTTGGAGGGAGTTGAAAATCCATGTTGCCCAGCGACAGCCCCAAAACATTACTGCTCTAGAGAAGATCTGCATGGAGGAATGGGCCAAAATACCAGCAACAGTGTGTGAAAACCTTGTGAAGACTTACAGAAAACGTTTGACCTCTGTCATTGCCAACAAAGGGTATATAACAAAGTATTGAGATGAAATGTTGTTATTGACCAAATACTTATTTTCCACCATAATTTGCAAATAAATTCTTTAAAAATCCTACAATGTGATTTTCTGGATTTTTTTTCCTCATTTTGTCTCTCATAGTTGAGGTATACCTATGATGAAAATTACAGGCCTCTCTCATATTTTTAAGTGGGAGAACTTGCACAATTGGTGGCTGACTAAATACTTTTTTCCCCCACTGTATATAAATACACACACATGAATGTATATATTTAAGAAAAATTGTTTATATATTAAATATATGACTATATCATATAAATTATATGAATATAAATATATAAATGTAAATATTTTCAAAAATATATACTGTATGTTTGTTTATATATACATAATAAATATACACAGCACACACACACATTATGTAAACAAAAACGTTTATTTTGGATGCGATTAATCGTTTGACAGCACTAATATTTAATAAAATGTTTTAAATAAAAAGATCAAACTGTTACTTCCTGGTTATCAATGAGAGGTACTCCTATACTTTCACATATTGAAATATCTAGGCCTCTATGGAAATGCATTAATAGTATACCTGCATTCTTCTTTTTAGTATGGAGGGCTCAATAGTGCGACTTCCTGAGGTCATTGCCCTAAAGAAGAAATACAAAGCTTACCTGTACCTGGATGAGGCCCACAGTATCGGGGCACTAGGACCAAGAGGCAGAGGTGTGGTGGACTACTTTGGCCTGGATCCATCTGATGTTGACATCATGATGGGCACTTTCACCAAGAGCTTTGGTGCTGCTGGAGGATACATTGGAGGAAAGAAGGTTCAATGTCATATCACATTAGATTACTACACACACACACAAATCACACATGCTGGTTCGAGTCTGGACTGCAGCCTGTCATTTCCAGCTCTCTCTCCCCCAATTCCAGTATTTAATAATGAGACAAAGTGAGTCCTCCAAAAAATGTGCTTCTCACTTACATATTACATATGCAGGATTGCAGTTTACATTTGGCTTAAGTAGCAAATCTTGTGTAATAATTCACTTTTTGTTTTCTCTCTGTAGGAGCTGATTGATTACCTCTGCTTACATTCTCACAGTGCAGTTCATGCTACCTCAATGTCCCCACCCATCACCCAGCAGATTATCACTTCTATGAAGTGCATTATGGGAGAGGATGGCACCACATTAGGTGAGTTTAGAATTGTATTCTGTTCAGTTCTAATAAAGATTACTTGTGTGGAATAATCTTTGTGACATCTATTACAACTACTATTTGTACTGTAATACCTAATATAGTAGCAATATTGTGTTTGTAAAAAAAAAACAGAGCCACAAGATGGCAGCATTAACTAATAGAGTACTGTTATGAAATGAAGCGCTGTGCTTATTTATAATATAACAAGCCTTGTTGCATAATGTAACCTGTACTTTGACTTCCATGCTGCTCCCCTGTGTACTTCCTTGTGTGTTTTTGTGTATATTACACAAAACTTTAACCTGTGATACTTGTGAGCAAAACACTTGTCATCCGTTGAGAACTATTGAGCTCTGTTGTGGTCAGAAATATTCTCCTCACATGTAATGCTTGGGCAACGCATTGCAAGTGCACATCAGTGTTACTGTGGTGGTTACAAATTTCTGTAAAAGGAGAAACCTTCCAATGTCTGTGCTATTAAACTAGTTTTTATTCAGAAAACTAGAAATAATCTGCTCTGCAATGAGAGAAGAAATTATAGAATACATTGCACAATGCAGGGGAATCAGACCTGTAAGCATTTGCGTCAATGTACTCAAATTCTTAGAACTGCAAAAATATTTCTACTGCTGAAAAGTGTTAATTATCAGCAGAAACACAATCTTTTTGAGTTTTAGGAAAAGTAAACTCGATGACTCAGCGATTGGTTACACATGCTAACTCCATCTCTGCTGACAGTTTGAAGCAGCAAACTCCGTTTCACCCCTGATTGATTTAGCAGGGCGTTCGTTTGGGAAAACCACATCTATACCCCAAACACACACACACACACACACCGCATCTGGAAGCTCTTCGAGCCCTTGTGAGGCTTTAGCGTGAGAGAAAGAAGGCCAAATGTTCCTCTCTGTGGGATAATGGATGCTGACGGACCTTAAAGACTTAGTGAACTTGTTCACTGTTAGGTTCTCAAATGTATAGGAGACGGCTTATGTTATAATTATGCCATAGAACCTTGAAGAACTCGCATACAGATCAAATTTATTAGTTTGAATCAAAGAGCCCATGTCTGCTACCTATAGACCTAGGTTTTGCGCCATATTGAATTTAACGCAGATGAAAATGAGGCTCTGAGGGACAGACCTATTTCATGCACTATATAAATGTCCTAGATCACATAGTTTTTAATTTTCCAAAGTGTCTTGGAGGTTCTGTCTACTATTTAATTAAATTTTTTTTTTAATCTGTTTTGTCAGCTAAAAAAATTGTATGTTGTTAAACAACGGTAAAATCCATTGAATACATTGTATTCTTTCCCTCACAACCTTGTTTTCATTCTTGTCAAAAATTAAAAATGGCACTACCCTGACTAAGGTCAATTGGTTCTCTTAGCAGCATGAAAAAATGACTTTTTATTCAAATTGTGAATTGATTATATGCAGAAAGCAAGCAAATAGCACTCAATAGCTGTCAGTCACTGTTCAGCACAAGCTCACTGAGTTTTGCAGCTAACTACAGTGCATACTAACTTTCCTATTTACATCATGTCTACACTTTGTTGGTTACTTTGTTTGACTTGGTCAATGAGCTCACACTGAACAAATGTTTTGAGCAGATTTCTTCTGCACAGAGACTTATTTAAGCGCCTTTGGCAATTAATGTGCAACCCTAGAGGATCTTCCTAGTACATGCACAATATAGTAACATTAGACGTGGCAAACCTGTTCCTCATATCATTGCACGGCAACCGCAGAAAGCAACTATTAAAGTCAGCACAAAACAGCAATTTTAATTGTGTTATCCATTTTGATTTCATGATGACTTCTAGTTTGCATCTCAGGGACCTAGTAGTGGAAGATCACTTAAAGGGTTAGTTCACCCAAAGATGAAAATTAGCCCATAAATTACTCCCCCCCTCAAGTCATCCTAGGTGTATATGTATATCCATAAAAAAATGTCTCGCACGGCTCCGGGGGGTGAACAAAGGCCTCCTGTAGTGAATTGATGCGTTTTTGTAAGAAAAATATCCATATTCATAACGTAATAATCACTTTAATGTAGCTTGCGCCAACAGTTGTACATGGAAGCAGTTCCATGCATTGACGTATGAGTTCAGCACTGCGCATGCGCAGCTCAGAAGTGACGAATGCGGAAGCGCAGGGGAGAGATCAAAACAAAACATCGGTCACTTATTAGAAGTACAAAATGAGGATTTGTAAGGAAGAATGTCGGAGGATTTCGATATAAGCCAAGAGGAGCCTGGTTTTCCTTTGCTAAGGTAAGGAAACTTTGCTTCCTTTGCTCCTGTTAACAAACATTGGTTTTCACGAGACTCATGCGCAAAGCTGAACTCATACGTGATCCGCCCGGAGCTGCTTCCGTGTACAACAGTGAGCGCAAGCTACATTAAAGTGATTATTACGTTTTGAATATGGATATTTTTCTTACAAAAACACATTGGTTCGCTACAGGAGGCCTTTGTTCACCCCCCAGAGCCGTGAGACATGGGCGCTTATGGATGGGCGCTTTTTATTTAACGTCTTTTGGACTGATGCATGCAACACCCGCTGAGTGGCATTAAACAGCTTAAAAGATCAAATACAATTTTTTATATAACTCCGACTGGATTCGTCTGAAAGAAGAAAGTCATATACACCTAGGATGACTTGAGGGTGAGTACTTTATGGGCTAATTTTCATTTTTGGGTGAACTAACCCTTTAAGGTAATATGCTTTTGAACTACATGTTGAATACAGTTTAGAGCAGTTGTGCCATTTTGGTTTTGGAACCAGATGAAATATTTGTTTCTGCTACTTGAAGGCAACACAAACGGTTTAATTTCAGTTTAAGCTTAATTTATAAAGCACCAGACTAACTTGCATTTCCTCGTAGCTGTTGTAGGTTTGGTTGGACTGTTTTCTCCTCAAGTCTTTACCAATATTCTCAATACTGAATATTGTGAGAAAGAGCTTTCCTTTCTCAGGAGCCCCTCACTATGAATGGAATGTCAAACAAGTGAAAACTAATACTGGAGAGTATATCTCTACCTCTCCCCAAAGGATCATTCTGCACTGTTCAAAGTGGATTTGAATTCCTTTGGCTTCAGATAAAACGGCCTCCCGATTTTCATTTGCCATGTGCTGGCATGGAACTTGCGGAGATGTTTGCAATTTAGCTTTTCTTCGTTCCTGTTGTTGGATATGAAGAACGTATGAATGACACAACAAAATGACAAGGAAAAAACCTGCTTTGGTCCACGTGGGCTTTAACATGCACTGGGTTGGGCCACTGGGTCAAGGATAAGACTTGCCTGTGCAAAAGTCATCAGGGCGTAGCTCTGTGGTTTCTATAGTGTTCAGTGTTTCTTTAGTGTTGCTGTGCAGGTTCAGTATTTCTGAACAGCACACCTCTCTCTTAACAAGCCACACAATTTGAGATATGATTCAGGTCCACACCACAAACAGTGTGGGATGAGTTACACACCGAAACCTACTCAAAGTATGAGTAATAGTTACTCCAAGCAAGCACCACTAATGAATAAAAATCAAGGACACGGTGTCTTAGAAAGGGTCAGAAGCTGGTTTGCAGGGATGACAATGATCTGAATAATTCCCTTTTATGCAGGTCAGGAAAGACTCTGTCAGCTGTCAGAAAACACAACCTACTTTCGCAGGAGATTACATGAGATGGGCTTTATCATCTATGGGAACAATGACTCCCCTGTTGTACCCTTGATGCTCTACATGCCAGCTAAAATCGGGTCAGTCTCACGTTTTGTTTGACTGAATCATGGCTATTGTATTTGGTGATATGCTAGCCAGAGGATATGGATTTTGCAGACTCGTTCATATATTTTGTATACTGCTGTTTAGAGCATTTGGGCGAGAGATGCTGAAGAGGAACATTGGGACAGTGGTGGTTGGATTCCCCGCCACACCCATCATCGAGTCCCGAGCACGATTTTGTGTTTCTGCCGCCCACACGAGAGAGATGCTTGACAAAGTGAGTATCACATGAACATCAGTAAGAGCTTCACCAATAAATCTATTAATGTATTCGATAAAAGGGAAGAAGAAAACGTAAAAGATAAAACAAAGTAGTTTACTTGTGGCTTTCCATTTCAACTTCCAAACTAGTTCTAAACTTTTTACCTATTAGCTCTCATAGGTACTTTTATGTAAGATCTGTCCCTATTTTACATCACAGCTAATGTTATCAAAACACATGAAGCGGTAGAGACCAAAAATCAGTGCTCCTACACATCAGTTATTCATCTATGAATCTCTGACTCACCTCACAGTCAACCAGAGTACATAAATTCTCTCCAAAAATAAACATCCTGTTATCATTTAGCAATTACTCAGCATCATGTCATACCAAACCCAGCATATTATTACCTCAACCAAACATTAATTCAAGTGTTAATAACCCAAGTGTCTCTTCTTGACTCTCTCAGGCTTTAAATGCCATCAGTGAAGTTGGAGATCTACTCCAGCTGAAATACTCAAGAAAAAACAGAAATGGGAGTGAAGGAACTGACTGTTTTTCATTTCTGGAGAGCCACCAGGATTAGCACGTTCTCATGATGGACTGAATGTGTCTTTCTTCCACTCTAGAGAGATTCATGTCTAACTCGAGTGCCATTTTCATGTTGATTCATTTCAGTGGACACTCACTGAAGTCCACCAGCTGACCAAATTTCAAGTTTTCCCTCTGGGTTCAGTAACCAATATTCATTTCATCGTGCAATGTAGTAAAGAATTCACGTCACTGTGTTTAGCATCAGAAATGACACCGGATAAAAGTTAATGCTTTAGTGTCAGGGCTAATTTATCCAACCCTCTACACGGTCTGAAACAAATGAGAGTAATTTCTGGTATTTTATACAAATATTATCTGGGTTTTTGTCTTGTTTTCCATTTTAAAAAATCGTAAACAAGGTTAATTTACTCAGGGTTACTCGAGTCTTTTTTTTCTCCATTTGCAATTAATGTTTTAAATAAAGTAGAATTCTTACAAAATTTAGTAGATTTATGCTTTAAACAAGAAAAAAACAATATGCCAATGGAGGACAATAAATGTAATTCAAGACATATATTGTTGAAGACTTATTATATTATGCAGTTTAGTAAAATTTTAAACTAAATTTAAGGAAATTTAGATTTTTACTAGAAAACAAGACCGAAATCCTGATAAAGAAAATGTTTTGTTTTGAGAGTACAAGAAAACTAACTCACACACTGGCAGTATACCTGCACAGCAAGTGTCATCTTTTAATGAGAAATAAGCTTGAAAATATATATGTAAAAAGATAAATCTACTTATGAAGGAGATAATTTATTATAGTTAAACCGTAAATAAGAATGTGGCTTCATATCCATATAAATGTATCTATAAAAATATTGACATGTTTATTAATGCACATTGCAGTGTGTCTGCATTTAACTCAATACTCCATTCAAATATCTCATTTTAATCTTTTTCACAATGCAAATATGATTGTATTAGCGATGTCTTAATTAACTTGTACAGAAGAATACTGACAACATTCTCTGTTTTGTTTCATCAAAGCTTTCTGCATTTCAATTTGAGTTGTGGTACTTTCCATGAATAGGGTACAGTTTGGTGTCCCTTATCTTTATCCGAGGAACAAAGCCCATATTGCTTTTAAAGAGAAACACTTTTTGGACTCTTTTTACACAAATTGTTACCCAAGTTATATATAGAGAGATTTTTCGGCTTTTAATTAGTTCCCTTTCATGGGAACTTCAAACTGCTTCTCATAGCGACCCCTAGAGGATGCAGTGTCTCGTTCCCTACTCGGGGAACCATGGTTACATAAGTAACCGGAGACGTTCCCTTTCATGGGAACGAGACACTGTGTCCTCTAGGAGTCGCTATGAGAAACCTAGAGGATGCAGTGTCTCGTTCCCTACTCGGGGAACCATGGTTACATAAGTAACCCGAGACGTTTTCATTCATATTTATTGCTAGAAAATAACAATCACATAAATTCTGGGCCATTAAATTCTATATAGACATGTTTTGCGAAAAATGAAACATGCTAAATATCTATAGAATATTTAGTTTGACCCTGATCGATCCCTGGGTTCATAATAAACATTTTCTGAAGGTTCAAAGCCTTACACTGGCCATCTGTTTAAAAATGCTCTTTTTTTTTTTTTTTTTTTTTTTTTTTTTTTTTTTTTTTAAAGAGTTTTCAAGACATAATTTGTACTCTCTTTGTGGAAGGTGCTTTTGTCTTACTTGAATATCTGTTACTTGCTGACAGTTTGAATATCTCACTTACTAAGTGTATAATGTCTTAGCCAGGGCATTTCACAAAGGCAGAGGTCTTTCATTGAGCCAGCAGAAATAGACCGACATTGTTCACTCAATGTTTCATTCTTTATATCTGCTGTTAACAGACAGCAGTGGAAAATATGTGTTGCCTTTTGTATTGTTATATAGTTGTTTTTGATTTGCTCTAACAAAAGTGCTAAATACGGGTCACTGATATGATATGAAGGGCTCTTGTCTGTATGAATGATGATGTGGCTTATGAATGCCTGTCGGATGTACGTTTTGGTTTTTCCCCTCCATTTCCTTTTGTGTTCTTAAGTCTTGTTCTTAATCGGAAAGGCAGCTCTGAATATGTCTCTGAATGCAGATGTATGTAAGTGACTTCAGAGCTACTAATGACTGTTAAGAGATGCAGATATGACGTTGGCACATTGGCTTTATAAATGCAAGTAATGCCACTGAGCTGCATTTGACTGAAACCAAAAGGCATTCCACAATTTCTGTTTGTTTGTTTCTTGTACATTCTGAGTTGCAATTTTCATGAAATATACATACTATCACATTTGTCACACTTCTCCATGCAAGAAACTGAAATTCTTCGAACGTGACTGATCATTTGTTTCTGAAAATAATTAAATAACTTATTGAACACTTTTTCTTTCTACAGAATCGAGGTTATTGTCCTAATCGGATATCTCAGAAAAAGCAGAGCAATCATTAGTCATGTTGTTTTTATAAACAAAGACCGATCTTTTACTCAGTAGTCATATTCAGACTGTATGATAGACATTTATGTAAGGTATAATGTATATTTAGTGAAAAGTTTGAAGTTGAGTTCAATTTAAATGATTTCATTTATTAAAGACAAATGAGACACTGTTAAAAAAATCCACCTACTTTACACTCTAAAAAATGCTGGGTTAAATACAACCCAGTGCTGGGTAAAATAGGGACAAACCCAGCACTGGGTTGTATTTAACCCAGCATTTTTTTAGAGTGTAGATTAAAAACTTAAGTTTAGCTACTGCCTTCAATTTAATTGTTAAGTTACAGGTCATTTTGACTTGAATTATATTGAACTGTTTATAAAAATCTAGTTAAATCTCATATTTGGAAAATATAGTTAAAATTTGTTAAATGATTCTATATTTTTTACAGTGTGAGGAATGTTAAACTACAATATCTAGAAAACTGCCCGGGCATTTTATATGCACTACTAAACTTTTCTAATAAATGGCTTTGCGTCTGATGATTTCACTGATTTGAAAGAAAAAAAGAGCAACTTATATTCTCGTGGTGATTCTTATATATATATTATATATAGGCCATAAATATTAAATGCATGATACATATGTCACATTTATGGCTGATTCAAACTGAGCCATGAGATTAATGATTACAAATGCACTTAGAGCTGTGAAATTTTGTGAATTTCTTTAGATTTCAGTTTATTCCAATTCTACCTTCTTAAATTCAAATAGTAGTTATGCATCCTTTATCCTCTTTTCAAACTTAATTCAAGTTCAGGAATCAAACTGAGAAGGCCTTCTGAATTCAGTTCTGAATGACTCTCTCCTTGCTGTCAGATACATAATCATCCCTAGCCCTGGAAACTGATTCTCCTCCCATGCTGACCCCATGGAGATCAGACCATCCTGCTGTTGTTTCGCTGTTGCGCGCTAAGCGTATATGGTTCGTTTCCTTAAGGCATGTATCTGAGATGCTCCCATCACCATAGTAACGTGTCACCGATGATTCTGTGCTCCGAGATCCTGAAGGAGAGAAGAGAAAGTTTGGTCAAAGTTGAATAAGGATGCACTGGTGCGGACTGAAGAGCAGCGCTAGACCTGCAGTAGCTACTTAAACTGAGAGACGATCAGTCCACATGGACAGACACATTTAGGGAATGGATTGAAGGGGTGAGGATTATCTGCCAGCATTTATCAAATGCTCATACATGTGCGAGTTTTAATGAAGATGAGGAACAGCGCATCGAAGATCTTCTTCAGGAGGGAAACGCACAGAGCTTCCTAAACAACTATTGCGCATTTAATGTTTTAGCGGTATTTAGTGGACGGATACGCAACGGTGCAAAATGCTAACAGCGCGTAAAAGTGTATGGGTACTTTTAACTGTGCTGCTGGCTGTCTGGATACAACGCGCGATCAGCTTCCCTGTGAGGCATCACAAGAGATCCAGACACGGCGGCTCTATAGAGGTGAGTACGAGTGAGTCGAAATCTCGTTTCGTGGTTTTATTTCTTCTTTTTCCTTCAGAAACGATATGCGTTACAGTAATTTACAGTGTTGGGGAGTAACTAGTTATATGTAACTAATTACAAAATAAATAACTGTAATCAGTTACTGAGAAAAAATTTAATTAAATTACAATTATGAAAATGTTAACGTTTACATCTGAATTTTTCTTTTCACACATGATTGATTTCTTTCATAAATTGCGTTGACTGCACCAATGTTTCAGGAGTTTGGGATGCTTATTCCATAACTGTTTTATTTACTTTTTGGGTTGCTTTATATGTTTTATTTTTTAAGATGAACTGTTTTTCCAATGCATTGTTGGATATCAGTGTTGCCTGTCATAGCTATGCAAAGATTTGATTCTTAAAACAGTATCATAGCTACTAAACTATTTCTTGTTATTATTTTTAATCTGCATTTAACCTCAGAATTATCTCAAAGTAAAGAGGTGCTAAAGTCTGATTTTGTGGTGGCTGTCCTTTTAAATTTAATTATTATAATCTTAATTTTGACTAATCAGTGTTGAGTGTTACTGTAAGGTTAAACCTGCCTGCTTTAAATGTTTGAAAATGATTAGCAGTTGAAAACATTAGAAATTTAGAAAAGTAATCCAAAAGTAATCAGTTACATTATTTTACATTACTGTAATCTATAATTCCAAAGTAACCTTCCAACACTGGTAATTGATTAGAAACCATGCGTTCATGGTTTATTTTTGTTATATTTCATATGCTTTATGCATAAATGTTATTGTTTTACCCTTGTGTCAGACACAGACATGTACGCATGTATTATTAAATAAAAATATCACTTGTTAACTGAGTACTGTTATTTTGCATAATTTCCAAATAATCTTTTAGTTCTGTACTTCAAGTTTCAGAATGTGTGAATATTTTATTTGTGTGTATTAAAAGTGCATTTAAACAGCGTCAGCCTTTTTATTCCAAAACTTAAAAGAATTACACTACACATTTCCTAACGTAACGCATCATTTCAGATTAATTCAGAGAGAGAGAGAAAGTCTGTGAAACTGACATTTGTTAATTCTGATAGAACTGTAGTTGAAGAAACTCTTCTGCATCATGGAACATAGAAGCTACTCTGGAAGATTCAAAAGCACAAACAGTCCAAGTTCTAAGCATTTCAGTTTTGAAGAATTAATAATGTACATTAATAATGTACTGATGACTTAACTATGCCTTCAGAAAAGTAAGAGTCAGAGGTAACATGATTAACAGTGTTACAGTTAATACTGCTATTAATGGTGATCATAGGGGTTTATTATAATTTAATGTAATTTCTACATATATCCAGCTTTCAATATTCAGTTGTTTACCACAAAATGGTAAATGGGTTGACAGTTCATTTCAAAAGGCACAAGCACATTTTAACCTGTTTTCATGAATAGATAGAGGCCTCGTACAGTAGAGCAGTACAATAGTGAAGCCTTACATAATACTGGTCAAAAAAACACTTAGTTTCACTCTCTCTCACAGGGTCATAGTTCAGCTCCTAAATTGTTTTTTTTTTCAGCCCCTTCTGTGTTAATGTGGAATTTCCTGCATTCTGGTCTCCTTGATCCTGTGTTTGTGCACAAGGGGGCCATGTCTAACCTCTCCAAGAAAGGTCCTGCTACTCAGCTTTGTATTACTAAATGTCTCTTTTGTTTTTACATGTGGGGCAGGGGTCGTCAAAGGGAAAGGGAATGGGGGGTCTTAGATTATTGTTTTTCTTCACTGGTTTGGAAATGGCGTGGTCCTGGGACTTTGATATTGGAGGTCAGATAAATCTAGGCTGCACTGCAGACTGCTTTTCCAAATGCCCCAACATAAATTGTGTGAGCTGATTGCATCCATGTGTCTCACCAGAGAGCTCAATAGGGGCTGTGTGTGTATCCCATGGTCTTCCGCTAGCGCATAAGGCTTTGTTTCGGGTTCTGGAATTCATGCCATATGTTTGTGATGGTGAGAAAGCCCACTGGCAGGACAGGCCACATTCCACTGGGAGGAAAGACGATTTTACAATGAATTAACAATACAGAGAAAGACAAGAGATGGCCTCGGGGAGACAAAGGATGTAAGGAGAGACTGGGTTTCTATTCCGAACGTTTAGGAAATTAAACTCACTCTGTTAGGCCATGTTACGAGTCTTTACTGAGTGACAGCGACTAGTCCTTCAGCCCCTC